ACATGTCACTGTACATTTATGTTATTATTAAACTTTTCTCTTAACTCTAAAAGGTAATTGGAAATACATACCGGACTTCTCCATAGGTTCTCAACCTTCATTATTAAACTTTTCTCTTAACTCTAAAAGGTAATTGGAAATACATACCGGACTTCTCCATAGGTTCTCAATCGAAAATTACATAGTATGATTAAGTTTTCGAAATAAATGCTTCAGATTCCTACGTCTCTTAGTTACAAATTGGAGACAAATTAATATATATTTTAATAGATATTAGAATCTTGTTTAGCTGTATAAACTGAAACCAGTGTGTAAATTTGGCCTCTACACAAAAGTCGGATTTCTTTTACACTCTATGTAATGTGTCTGCTTTCAGTTTTTTGTTAATAACTATAATATTGATAAATATTGATATTGATTTATTTTTGTTGAGATATATATACTCGCTTATTACATGTTCATTTAGACTAAATGAACTGTTTTTGAAGTATAAATTGAAGTACTCAAAACACGAAGTAACTATTTATCAATTTTGATTAAATGGATTCAAAGTTTTAATTGTAAAATTGTTTTGGGTAGGTAAAGTAAACATCATTATAGCATCATTCTAGTTAGGGTAAATATTAATTTAAAGGCGTTACATCTGTTGCAAGTGGCATTACAAAAACAACTTTCCATAAAATAAAGTATTATCATGTTACACAAAATAATTAAGGAACTGAACTGAGAGGAGTGAGTAACTTTACCACAATGGTTATGTCCTGACATTGCAGGTTCCGATTATCCTCTGTATCGTGCAGTTTGTGCCTGTATTGAATACACCTGCACAAGTGTCGCCCATGAACCTTTTAGATTAAAATTGTTATTTAATTGAATATATATAATAACAGCAACTTTTACGTTGGCAACTTCTGGTTTTGAGCCATAGTATCGAATCGTCATCAGGTAAGAGTTGTATTTGATCGAGTCATCATCTGGTAAGAGTTGCATTTTTTAATCACATATTCGGTTTAGTAGGTTTCTTACGAAATATTAATATTGTTATTTGTTTAATGACCGCAAAATTTGTTTTGTTTCTCAGCGCCATACTAAAACGTTGCTAATTTCAAGTGGAAAGTTTAAATTATCTTTCTTTATATATTATAAAATTGAAAGAAGTTTAGAAACCATTTTAAGTGTTATTTAAAATGATCTTACGTATGTCCCACTTTCTTGAATTGTCGAAATTGTCAAGTCACGCCAGATAGTATCAAGTACCTATGGAGAGGTGTGGGTACCCCACGTTCTTCAGGTTGCAGTCAGTTGTCGTAGGTAAATATTGAAATTATTTAGAATTACAGGCTTTAATATTTGATTTAGTGCTAAAAATTAGCCATACATATTGGGTTCATTTCTATCTTTAACTGCGCATCATTTTCACTTTTGCTATAAAGAAATGATCTGAAGTTTAAGTTGTATATTAGCAAACATGTAAAATGCTTTTAGAAATTGAGAAGTTTTGAAACGCTATTATCTGAACATATAACATGTTTTTTTTTTGTTAGAATGATAATCAAACTGCATAACCCTTAGGTAAGTCCCCCAATTATGATAATCAAACTGCATAACCCTTAGATAAGGCCCCCAATTAAGGTGGAAAAGTAAATTTTTGTATTCATACAATAATCTCTGTGCTTTTATAAAGTTTATGTATATTATATAACTGCTGAGTTCAAGATAGAGATATTAAAATGTTGTATCATTTCAATACATTTTTGGACATGTACACGATTTGATGTTTTAGATAATTTATGTGGCATACATAAGTAAACATAGTTACTATGTTTCATCTTGATTCTATTAAGTTTCGAAATATAGGAAACACTGGACATATCATAAACTGGTCGAGTGGGGGTTTTATACAGAGAAAGAAGAATTTTACGCATATAGTGATATATTCATCAATTGGAATTATAAGTTTCTAATTTCAGATTTGATGAGAGGACAAAAATATGTATTGTGAAAGAAGTTTGATAAACTGAAATGATTTCAGTAATACAAGAAACTTTTACAGAAAGTTACAATGCTAGGCCTGATAGAGTGTAATTATATTTGGAAAGACTTGCTTAATGTATTTTCACTCGACCAATCTAACTAAAACATATGACAACTTATATAAAAAAAACACTCCTTTGAAAAATGAAATGCAAAAAACTGAAAAAATGTCTAAAGTTTGTATAGTTTTATATTAACTATGTTATTAAAAGACTATGATCCGCACATGATTAAAATTCCTTTTAACTTTCTTATTAATCCACAGCTGTCTAAATCTAAGGAGCAATCAGTGTACATTCGGAATGTTGCCTTGGAAACTGCTGGAATTTATAAGTGCGAAGTGTCGACTGAAGCGCCTGTATTTGACACAGTATCAGCCAAGAAGGAGATGAAGGTATACGGTACGTTGTTTTTCCATACTGTTATCTCTTCACAGCTTACAGCTAGGTAATATGGAAATTTAGTCCATAGAAAGTGTACTTCCATGAAAACAACAAACTGAAATTAAAAGCATAAACTTATTTGAAGTTTATTATCTAGGAAATTATGGTTCTTCAAACGTTTTGTGTTTAAGTTTATAAACAGTAAATCTTTGAGTCAAGCAGACTACATACAGTATTCTCCTGAAGCACACATCCGCTACATCCTCAACTCTTTTGCATACTTTAACGGGATATGCATTGTTATATGAAGAATACAACGGTACTCATCAGTCCAAAAACTGAAAAGAACTAGTTTTTACTAACCTTTGCGTAAGGTTATAGAGTTATTGTAATAAATATCCATGAAGATCCTTGCGAGGCTAGTAAGCGTCAGGAACTATAAGGTCAACTAGGAGATTTTTTTTCAAGATTGCACATATCTCGAAGGACACATTTAAGAAGCATAAGATTCAAAGGTTACTTGCAAGGTAAGGTGAAAAAAACAACAAAAAACTCTTGACATGCCACCAGTGCAGCAGATGTGGATATGACCATGACACTTTGGGTATATAGGAAACCACTATGGCCATAGAAAAAGTCACAGCAAAAGAATCCACAGGTCAAACCTACAGGTAGACCCCTATGCTATATTCCAACTTTACTGGATTTAATGTGGACCCATTGTTACCAAAAATAACACAATTGGTCCAGTTTGTTATTAAATAATATATACTATGTTAGAGGATAAGATGTTTTAGATCCTACTTAATGTTTCTATGCTTGTTGATTTAAATAACTTAGTAATCTATATTTTACGCATAATTAGAATAGTCAGTAAACTTTGTTATAGGGCTAGACGAAGCCTAATTATTAGCGTGCTTCGTCTGTGAATCTGATTGCTCATAGTTCACGGCATGGTGCCGCAAATACGCGCTCTGGAGTTTGGGGCTGTGGGTACTCTATAAGAGTAACGCTCAAATCGAACTGTTCGTTCAAACAAGAGTATCCCAAGAAGTTATGAAAAAAAAAGTGTTCAAATTTGGTAAAACACACGTCGATAACAAAAACTTTATTATTATTATTTGCAGCTTTTCGGGCAGAAGCCCTTCGTCAGGCAGTTTGAACTGTGTTACATAGAAAAATAACTTATGTTGAGTGCTGCTGACTAATTGTTTTTCCTGCAGTACAGTGGTGTGGGACGCGCCTACAAGATGAGCGCGGAGAGTCGGTAGCGAGGTGCACGCATCTGTGACTTTAGGAGTAAAAAATTGGCGTGCACTGTATGTGCACAACTAAGCTATACGGGTGCAAAAAATACATGTTTAGAAGGAGGTGCACAACTGCTATAATCTATCAGTTCAAAGTAAGGGACGGCTATGCATATATAGCCCTTTGTGTAGCTTTGCGCGATAACTTAGGAATAAAATGTTATTCAATAATTCTAAACCTGTTTCCGAAATAACACACTGTTTTGGCTGATATTTATGTGAATCATAAATCATCCCTAAAGAATAACTTTTCTTAACTTCATGATCATATACCTACGAAAGTCTTGCATGAATAAGTGCTAATCAGAGTTTTAACTACTAAGTTAAACTTACTGCTTACGTTTAAATTGTTTAAATATTGCTGGTAAAAAATGCATTTATCATTATAGTTAACGTTTTAGGATACAGAACTAGCAGTAGGCATATATCATTATAGTTAACGTTTTAGGATACAGAACTAGCAGTAGGCTTATATCATTATAGTTAACGTTTTAGGATACAGAACTAGCAGTAGGCTTTCGAAAGTTCGAACTTGTTTGTATTTAATACATTATTTTCATTTCGTTTCATTAAAAGCAAATTATTAAATATTCTTCATGCTATACTAAATTACTAACTGTATCATTAAGAAATAAATTCTTAACATCTGGTCGATTAACTTCTTTTTTAAATTATAGATCACAAAGAATATGTGTTTCCAGCTTAAATTTTTATCAGTTTATAAGGCTAAATATAACACCCACTTTTTCAGTTTGCAAATTACACCCGATATTATGAATATACGATTTAAAATAATCTTCATTTATTATATTTTTTATTTTTTAATTCAAAATATATTTTGTTTTAGTTAAATCAATGGGTCATTCTCAAATCTAGAGATACTTCCAGGTGCAGAAATACTAGTATGTAAACTACAATGTAGGAAATAAAAACAAACTTTTTAATATATGTTTTTATCCTGTTTTGAAAATATCTCACCAATAAAAATCAATTTTAACGTTTTTTCACGTAAACTGAACTTTTATATTTCTTAGTACCATAAAAATAACACTTAGTTCTCTTGATACAGATTAACAAGTCAAATAAAAGTAAGTTAGTTGTCAGTTGTTATATTCTCTTTGCTTACCTTACTGTTTTATAAAATATCTTGTCTAATCCCTAAATTATAAAATTACATCTGTGCTAAGCAAGAACACATTTGCTGAAATGAAAACGAATAGAACACAGAAATGTGTAGCAATAATACTTTTAAAGTTTTAAAATTAAATGATATAAGTAAGCCACGATCTAAACATATAAAGCTTGACATCAATTTTGCAGTGAAATCGAGAACTTGAAAATGAATACATTTTTATTACAGTTTGCATTAATAATAAGAAATCAGGATCTTAGCCCAGATACCACAGAGTGTTACATTACTTGTAAAAATTTAATCAATTTCACTAAGAAATATTTATTTTCATACTTATAAACAAGTAGCTGGAGTACCCGTCAGTTGAACGGGTGAAATAAAAAGTCGTTTGTAACAAAGGATAGGAAATTGTCCTTCTATTTTTTTCTCTTAAAATAATAAACATTAAAAGTGCAATAAAAGTATATAAAGATACCAATACTGAAAAGAAAGACATACTGTTTTCAATAATTCTATCCATATAAAATTAGATGAGGGGTCCACCCCCCACACCTCATGTCAACCTGTATCAATGTGTCAAGTTGTGCTGAGTTGGAGTTTTTTTTCAGAATTAAATATGCAATTAGATGGGAAGGTCCACCCTCACCTCCTCGTGACCTTCCGCTTCACATTCTGATCAAGAAATGTGGAGGAGTATAAGGAACAGATACAGACACACATATTAACGTTTATTTATATAGAAGATGGAGGGTTCCAACCTTCACCTTCTTGATGACCTTCCTTATGTTATCCTATATCACTGTCAAGTTTCGTGCTGCTTGATCAAGAACTGTGGAAGAGTATAAGAAACATGTGGCTGAAAGGTGCGAACAGACAGACACAAACTTTATATATTAGATAATAAGGCATTTAATAGGGAAACATAATTTGTAATATAAATTTTATTATCAAAACAATGACTGATATAGATAGACCAAAAACGTTTAACACAATTATAATGAAAAAGGTTTAAAAAGAAACGTTTTCATTTACAGATTCCATAAAAGTTCTTTATTACATAACCTCACACTGGAATCTCAGACCAAATAAAGAGAGGTATTCCTGATTGTGTTGAACATGTTTTGCACATGAAGTCTACTTTATAGCCACAATCTGTCAATATTTCTGCAGCTAAGTCTTCGTCTGGACGTTTCTTTGTTTTTGCCACAACTCTTCCTGAATCTAAAATAAATAATAAACCAATAGAACAAATATTTAAAGCGATTTAAATCTATTAGGACACACAATAGATCCCAAGAAAAATTACAAAGGCATTAAATCTGACGCATAATATAATTGATAGGGATTTTAATAATAAAACACCAAAGAAGATTAAAATGGGCATATAAGAGCAAGGAATTTTCTGTTGTCTTTCAAAATGTGTAGTGCATACTGGAGGGATTTGCACATTTTTATAACAGTTTAGAAAAACGAACTTTACCCTCCAGATATATATAAAAGAAGTTGTTTTGTTATAACCAACGTTTCACCTTTGCGGCTTCATCAGGGTTAATATACACAACTGTTTTATATTAGAATATTCTAATATTAAAAAGTTGTATATATAAAATATAATTTCTATTTTATCTTCGAATAACATTTTGTGTCTTCTTCCTGCTCCTCTCCGTTGGCCAAAGTAAAGTCCGTCATGGTTCTGCTGCAGCTAGCCAGATTTCTTGTTAGAGAGACATTCTGCGTAACATAGAAGGTCGAAAACGAGTAAATTAACAATTATGAATTGATTATATTAATATACCTTTCTCCCTCCATTTCTGGTGGAGTTCAGGTCGTGACACTTCTACGACCCTCTTCCACTGTGATGACCCTAAACTCAGGTGGGCCGTGGCTGAAACTAAATATTTTCTAAATGAAATATATAGCTACAAAATGTCTGCCTCACTTTCACCATCATTTTCGCCATCTTACACGATCCTCGTTACTCCTTATTGTCAGCTTGAAGGATGGCTACTCCATCTGCAGTATCTATAAAATTCGCAATTACGAAATGTTGGCGATCTTACCATCAGCCATCACTGTGATTGCCGATCCGTAACCCGATTTATATGAATTATTTAACCCTTTGTTCCTCTGTCATAAATACATCCA